GGAGTTGCCAGATTTGTTTTTTTTTTTGAGCCCGTCTAAATGTCCTTTTTGTGTTTACATTGAAAGCGCCACGTCTCGCCGAACATGCTACATGTCTGGCAAGTGGTAAGGTGTACCATTCCCGACAAAATCAGTCCTCTCCTTGCCGAACAGACGTATTAGGCCTAAAGCATACCTTACGCGATTCCTGTCGCTGCGCGATCTGACACTGCAAAAACTCTTCATAAGTGATTGTAAGCGCGCTTTGCTTAGGCAATAATTGATACGTTTGCGGGAACTTATGGAAGCCAGGCGCCTATGCATTTGAAACCCGCGCACAGTTACTCTGCAAACATCTGGCAAATCGCGAAGTTTTGGATGTAGCGATTTCGGGATTCGCGGGAGGTATGCTCTGGGCCTTACACATGTTGGGATTAAGCACAGAATATCGCAAGAGCCATTTCGCACGAGCTGACACTTAATTTGCAGGTAACCTTACCCAATTTTGGACCGCTTGACGAATCAATTTTCTTAATGCCCTGCTTGATTATTCTTTTACAGCGAAGCAGTAGCATTGGTGATTGTTACGACAGACGAACTCAACTTTACTGTAAGTTTGCCTTCTACCACACCTAGTTTTTTGGACTTTGAGTTCTGAGTTTATATTCACACATACATTGCTTGCGTGCTAGTGTTTTTGTGCGATAAAGGAGAGATTTTCTTTTGTAGAAGCGCACAGCTTTTTATTCTTAGAGTCAGGTTCAAAGGTTGTCTAAATGAGATTCCAGGTCGGTTAGACTTGATGATCAATCAGGTGTAGGATATGATTACTGAGAATGCTTCGCTCATTTCTGAAGCATGACAAGTAGGGTGGAAAAAGAAGACTCAGCGATATTTTTCTTGTTACGCACATTAATTCATGTTTCACAGCCAATAAAATGCTCTGCGCTTGGAATTTGCGGGCATCGAAGATCGAATCTTGTTTCAAAAGCATACGGACCTCATGATGAGGTTAACTTCTACCTTTGAATCATTTGTAACTTGATAAGGATATTGTGCGTACAAGAGAATTTTATTGAGACGGCATGTTCTCCTTGCCTTTCTGTCTCGTTTGATTCGAATGGATACATATCAGTTAGTAGAGTTCATTTCTCCAGTTCGCTGGAGGAGGTTTCACTAAGGAGTTTTAGCAAAAGTGCCACGGTTGCCGCGCACTGGGTGCAGACTCACTTATCAAGTTGTAAATGACTCGAATTTATTCAGGCTAACAGTTGCTTTGGCAGCCAGCACCGATCGTGGCTCTTCGCGCGCACAGTAGTATTTGCTTGAGAGCGAATGTTGATGTAGAGTTGAGGTCCGTTGACGAAAATTTTCAAAAAAACCATAAACACGAAATAAGTACTCAATTAGATTCCTTCGAATCTACTAACGAAAAACCATTGATTCCTTTGCAAACATTACTGTACCAAGTCACACTTGCAAATATATGAAAGAACTCAAGATCTTCTAAATGGCAGAATGGTCTCGATCAAACTTTCGATCTTTGAAAATTCGCTGCAAAATTGCCTGACCAACAAAGCAAGCGCCAAAGCAGCAAACCCACCTAAGGAATGAAGCGACTAGATTCGATAAATATCAAAGGATAATATCAAATTTGAACATTTGTGCTGAAATCCGTATGAGCTGCTTCTTTGCCATTCAAAAGTACTCCAAATCAAGAGGATTCTTGAAAGTTATGCAAGAGATGAGTATCCAAAAAACAAGCTAGCATTAAAGGCGGCGGTTCGCCAGATTCCGACTTGGAATTTTTTTGCTTACCTGGAGTAATTCGAGGCGCTAATTCCGAAGATTCACCTTGAAGAGCGAGAAAATGGCAAAAACGGTTATTTCCTAAGGTCTCCCATTTTGAATTTGGACGAGTGGAGCACGTCCCGCCATGGTTGGAGAGGCAGAAATGTTGCGGGACCCTCGCAGTCATAACATTGCGGCATGCCTTCTCTGACGGATCAGAGAGAATCGCAAGCTCGTCCGCGCGTATTAAAATGGCTTGCGCGTAACGGGGTTTTCCAGGCAAGGGCAGCGTGCCGCTGCTTAGTGCGCTCGGACCTGCTCTGTTCTCATGTTTGGGGTGCAAGCAACCTTCCATGTCAAAATTTCGGGATTTTCGGTTTTGGCGAGCTGCTGCCTTCAAAGCAGTGTCCGGGTAGAAAGTCAATTTCTAGATTTTGTGCTTACCGGAGCCTATTTGCTATGCTCAATCCGAAAATCCATATAAGGAGTGCTAAAACGCGAAAAAGGGCTCTAGTGCATGAGAACAGCAAGTGGGCGAGGTCTTCCCACCTGTATATTCAAGCTCCCAACTTCAGGAGCGATCTTCTCATTCCTGTTGCCGCCCTGAAATAATCAACGGGCAAGTGCGAACGCGTGATTCGAAATCGGAACCGGGAAGCTCGCTACGGAAGCTGAGTGTGGATTCACAGTGAGAAAGACCCCGCCCGTTTTTGATTTCCCACCTGTATTTGAGCCCTTTTTCGCCGCTTCCTCGCTTTCAAGTGTGGATTTTCGGATTTAGCATAGCAAATGGGCCTAAGCACGATTGCACGACTGCCTTCAAAGAACGGAATCTAAATTGACAGAAAGCATTAGTCGAAATTTAAGGTAAAGTGATATTTCGCCAGCAAGCCTGAAGACATCATAAAAGACAGTAAACCAACACAATAACGTACAACACCCCCGAATCATGCCTAAAATGCGCGCTACATGCGTCACTTTGCGCGTTACCTGCTTAGGAGATGATGAAAACAATAAAGATTTATTAGTCTAAAAGAAAAGACGTAAGATAAGAGTGAAAATTTAAACTGGAGCTGAATACTATGCATGCACAATATTTTGGCATTAGAGCGAGATATTTAACAAAGGGAAAAGAAATGGAGGCAAAAAAAAAACAAAGGAAAGGCAATGATATGAGAATGTCTTCATGCTCAGGGTCCATGCTAAAAAGATCCGAAACGTATGTGAAGTGACGAAAATATATGCTCTAGACGATCAGATCGTCTGGTGGCCGTCTGGAGACGATCTAATTGTGGAAAAGGTTTACTTCACATAAGTTTTCAGATCTTTTTACATAATACTTTCGCAAATAATTTTCTATAAATACAGTTCAGTTTTAGTGTCATATGTTTCTGTGTGCGCTGTGAACAAACAATTTGTTTACTTAGGCATTGCTTTCAAATCGCGCGCACTTTTCGCCATGCACACGATAGAGCATGTCAATCGTGTGGTTACCTACCTGAAAAGTTTGTCTTCGATTAAATGACGCTTATTCTTGGTGCTCGGTTCCGACTCGTCAAAAACGATATCCCCTTTGCTTTTGCTTCAAAAACGAAGTCCAGCCTGCTTCCAGGCGAACTGTGCCGGGCCCTACCTCACTCCATGACCAGTCTATATGTAAATGTCGCAACCACACAGGGTTCTTTGTTTTGCGTTATAGGCGTGTCTTAGCAAAATGGGCCCCTGTCAGACTTTGGTAGTGTTAGATAATAAACCTCAAGTACACCTTAGCACCCACCTCACCCTCCAAATCACGCACTAACAAGCAAAGGAAGGTTGGTCGAAGTGGCCTTCTAGGATTGTACACTGTCTTGTAAAGTTTGGAACGCTGATTCCAAATCTGTCTTTGCTATCTGCTAAGGGCTTCTCGGAGAGGAGTTATAATTTTTGTGAGTGAAAATCTGATTGCAAAATTAGTACAAAATCACTCGTAACCTTTTCCTAACGTTCGAATGAGGCAGCGACGAGTTTGTATATCCAAGTTAAGAGTATTCATTGCACTGAGTGACCCGACTACCAGTTAACCCCTAAGGAAAATGTTACGACTGAATTCGCACTAATCTTGCGTTTAACTTTTTACTCACAAAACCCTCCATAACTCCTCGCCCAGAAGTCCGCAGCAGATAGTGGAGGAAGAATTGCAATCAGCGTTTCAAGCTCTACAAAACGGTTTACATCTCATTTTGAAAGGCCACTTTGACCAACCTTCCTTCCCTTGTAAGTCCTATGAAAAAGCTTCAAAACTCCACCAGCCCCACCCACTTCCATTGAGTGGGCGTTATCGATGAAAATATGAAGCGGCTTTTTGGGTTTAGCGCATGAATTGGAGGGTGGAGTTGGGGCTACGGTGTACTTGGGGGGAGGGTCTGCTACCTAGCCTCTACCAAAATCTGAAATGGGTCCATTTTGCCAAACTACTGCCTTTATCGAAGAAAAAGGCTTAGCGAACATTGCGACTTTCATCCAAATTTATAAGGACTTGAAAACTTTCAGTTATTCAAACCAGACTCAAACTTGACTAGATTGAATTCGGTGCATGTAAGAGCAGAAGTGCGCATCACCTCCTTTTGCAAAGGACAACAATAGTTATAGTTAATTGATATTTACTGTGTGGTTGTGCGAAATCTGGGACTCGAAGATGCAGAGTGGCTGAAAGGAGAAAGTAGATTCACGATAGTGATCGGGCTTTAGCGCATCGCATTTTTCTGCTTTCCTCCGATTAGTTAACAAGGTTGAAAGTAAGTTGGTAAGGTCAATAAGATTAAAAGCACCTTTCTTTTTCATAAGCAAGCAGCTCGGCCGCGCCACTGTACCTCACAAAGTAATCGCTCTCCCACACAATTTCTTGAGGTAAGAAGCAGCACGGTAGAGGATTCAAGTCGCGAAATTTCTCAGTGTGCCCATGCGGGTCGAGTTTGAGAAAAAACAGGTGCGTCTTGTACTCGTGAAATCACAGTGCTGCTTGCGTTAAGAGTACTGCAACTCGTCTATGCGAAATTGTGCAGTTCTTCCACTTTGTACTTGACACTTCTTTCAACCCATTTCCTTCTCTCTTTAACATCTCTACCCGTTACCACCTCTGCACTGAATGAATGAAAGTTTCCATAAATATTACGTTGATTACGTCATGTTATTATGTCAAGTCTCAGCATCTCAATAGCATCTGCCACTGAGGTGTAACCCAGTTTTCAGTTGTTCCATCTATCAGGCAGGCGTTGTTGTTCCTTCATTAGGTATCATCATGGTGGAATACGATCCGTCAGACGAGTACGTTTTGTGCCAGTCTTGAGGCCATATCTAGCTATATGGGAGTAATGTGCTCATTTTTAGCCACTACATACAATCGCGCAAGGTTCAGAATCGAATCGAGGAAATGGACAGCCAACTCCAATCACTGCACACCGTAGTTATAGTAATTTTTCAAATCTGATTAGCTTTGGGTAGAAAGATGACGAAAGAGGAATAAGGGAGTAATAACACATAGGTTTGAAATTGCAGTGCGATTAGAGCGATAAAACAACGCGAGTAAAACGATTCTTTTACTTGAGCAGACAGTCACTACAATTTTCGTTGGAATTTATTTGTTAAACCATGCGCAAAAATAGCTTGAACTCTACTTCAATTTACAAACCTCAACCTGACCTTTCAGGTTACTTTCTTGATTACTCTGCTTATGATTATCTTTTATGTTGGCGAGGTGATTTGTAGCCCAGCTAGAGAGCCAATTGTGGGTTACCAATATGCCAGCCAGGCGAGTTTCTCCTCTGTGATATTTTAATCAAGATTCCTCCGCCTCCGACTGCTGTGGTGATTCACAGAAAAGATCGAAGGAAGAAAAAGCGCAGAAAAACCAAAAAAATCCCTAAAGATGAGTGGTAGGCCATTTCTTAGCTCATAAAAATAGTACCATACAACTGAGTTTAGCCGCCATACGTTAAATCGTTCATTCCCATCAAAGAAGATCATGCTTGAACTTGATGTCAAAAAAACTGACAAGAAAAAGAAGGAAATGGAAGAGGTTTGAAGATTTCTACCCTACCAGTAATCTAGCGAAGGCATTTAGAAAGAAAAATCTGGGTTGGTGAAAATTCCCATTGGTGCGCCTCCCCCCTATGTCGAATCTGGAAAAGGAGGTACGACCGGAGGTAAATTTTTCGTTCTCTCGACGTCCTTTTCATCAAACGCTGTTGGATCTTCATTTTTTCCGTTGCAGATGTAAAAGCTGTATCCCAACCAGAATCTAGCGCAGTTACCGCAACGGTATGTGTCGGTCTACCTTCTCTTTTAACATTATTTTCCAGGTCGGAAGCACAATTTCTGGAGTGAGCACCACCTCTCTGCCCGTATCAGCCACTCAACAAACGTCTGGCAGTCAAGACCGAACTGTGCTTCCGTCGACAGCTCCTCCTTCGCAGCCTCCTCAGCTTGACCAGCTCAAGACCGCTATTTTGTCTGTGTCGCCACGACGCGCAAGGCCGGGGATGGGCTCGACGTTAGGCCAGCCATCACTGCCTGTGCCAGCTCAACCACCGACTCGCACAGTTCTTCCAATGGCAAAGTCTCCGAGAAAAGGGAGAAGGAGGGCGACTGCGACTTCACCGAGGAGATCTCAGCAGATGGGTTCGGGAAGCGATCAGGCAGGTGGCACTTTCTTTTGCTGAAATCATCCATTGTTGGAAACTTAGCGCTGAATGTCTGGTCTTATAATATCTATAATAGGACTGAGAAAATATTCACAAATCTTAAGTTTAAACAATTTCAGCTAATGCTCTTATTTTCAGCCGAGTGCGCAGTGATATGGAAATCAAGCATGATCATCGTTTATCGAATAATCATAGTTTTCTCGTAATGAAGGCTTTTTGTATAGTTGCAATTCACCTGTGTTATGACCTTGATAGGAGGTCATATAAATCAAAGCATTGTCTACCGAGCAAACACTTTCAGTAGTGGCTATTCGAGATGAATAGATTATTGCATAACTTCGTGGCGTGCGTAAACCAAAAGTTGACATAATTTCATCAAAAAACGTCAAAAACAACTTAACCCACTGTTGCTTATTACCTTCTGCCACCTTGCTGTTAGATTTTCAAATATACCTATCCAAAAGACGACGGCTGGTTTTAAAAGTAGCCTAACCATCACTTATAGTCTTCTTGATATAAAAAACGTCGTCTTCTGGGCTGCTTAAGAGCGGAACAAGTAATAACCTGTTGGGTGCAATATGAGACGTAAGGCTCCGGACAGACTTCACACGATTTGATCATCGCGACTGAATCGCGACGAGACAACTGTTACAACATCATTCCATGCCGCTCAACTTGCATTTCGGTTGTGATACTTTTCCAGCCGAAATTTTTGAATGTGAAATGAAAATGAATGGAAATGTCGGCGATTGATTCGCGACGATCAAATCGCGTGAAGTCTGTCCGGGGCCTAACACGTTTCGGGCCGGTGCTGCACATGGTACAGCACAATGTAAAGGATCTTTTTAACGTTTACAGCAGGTTTTCTTTTAGTCCAAGGTAATCATGTCAAAGGCCTAAGCTCCTAATTTTCAAATGACTCTGTAGAGCTGTGCCGCCAATATTCGTTTAGGAGATATGAGGACAAACTGAGCAACAGTTGCAACGAAGTGCGGCGACGCGAACGACGCCTGCGACGTCGCAACTTATTTTTGCTTTGATTTCTAAATCCTCGGGCAGAGTTCACGCGATTTGATCGTGGCGATGCAATCGCTACGAGACAAGTGTTACGAGTCATTGCATGCCGATCTTCTTGTATTTCGGATATGATGTCAAACTGCGTGAACTCTGCCCGAGGCCTAAGAGAAAAACCGTAGTTTCGATAATCATGTGCACCGTGTACAACAATATAGATATTTTAAGTACTATTAAAAACTGAGTTCTTGTTCCTGTCTTTCAAGAAAGCACAAAACTCCCTTTCAAGTGACAAAATTCGAACGTTTCGAATTACTCAGAACTTTGGGCATGGAGCTTATTGGACATGCTGATTACCGATGTAGCTCACAGTCTAATAAATAAGGTTCCTTTGTTGGCTAACGGCTGAAATACTTATTTGTTGCTCGCGGATTTGCGATCCGAAACGTGCTAAATACTGATGTGCCTCCTAGTCAAGTCTTGCTGTTCAATCTTGTGACAGTGCTTTATGGGCTTCTGTACTAAAAGTCAAAAGTTTCACATTAAATTGTCCTTGTGGTCTTTTCCGCTTGAGCTTTGATAAAAAGTAGCGTACAGATATATCGCGATATATCGACCGTTTTGCTCTTCTCCAGCAATTTCTGTGCAAATCGTTTTGCCAGTTTCAAGGGAAGTCGTTTTTTTCTTGCTCAGAAGGCAGTATTTCACTGATGGCTGCCCTACTTTATTCTAAATCAAGTCACTTTTTTTCGTTGTCTCATATTGACTTAAGAACGACATTTTGTCATCTCCCTATCATTTCTGTGCAAAAGGCTCCTCTTAAGAAAGAAACAGCAGTATCAAAGTTACCTTTTTGCTATTACATTTCAAAGGCAAACAGTTTGTTATTGAAAGTGATAAGTTCTTCGTAAGGCAAATAGTAAGCTCCCTTTTTTAGTGATTTATGCAGCATGTCACAAATTAACCGCTTATCTGAGGACCAAAATGAAGACGCTACAATACAGTGTAGAGATAGCGCAGTGCCGATGTGAAACAATGTGCTGAAAGTTGGGGGGGGGGGGGAATTCACGTGTAGCTTCGTTTTGCTATTGCTCTCTCATTCTGCTTTATCTGGATAACATTTAGAACTTTGAATCCGAGTTTATCATTTAGGCCCACATCTCTTATGAGATGGAGTCGAATGTACCACATGTGTTGATCTTCATCACGTTATCACCAGGGTCAAGCGTGGGGTGCGGCACGCCACACCTGGGGGGTCGTATTGAGGAGTCAAAAGGGGAGGGGGTCGTAGTTGGGTAATCTGATAATAGTGATAACATAATATTCGTATCCTATCCATAATTAGGATGTCAAATAACCCCTGTAGACAAAGTGTGAGCGAATTTTGAAGATTCAAGATACTAGGCTACCTAAGTGAAATGGTCAAATTCCAACATGGTTAACTTTGTTTCAAAGGTGAATTAGCTACCCGATTTTGCACTCAAGACAAAGCACTACTCCTTTTTTGTCCATCTCAGGAATCCCGTTTTAGAAGACCTCCAAACTGTGGAATTAGAAGCCAACCAAAATCTCGTTTTTTTCCATTTTTCACCTTTGATCGCTGTGCTTTCACCAAATATTACTCAGAGCTAAGAAGACGAATCAGGCTCCAAACAGTCCTATGGAATCTACAAAGTTTAGGCTATCGATTGATATAAAGACTGTCCGCTAAAAATGTTTTTTTGACATAGTTAATGGGGTGCGGCACACCCCCTTAAAAGCTGCGGCTGCCGCAGCTTTTAAGGGGGTGTGCCGCACCCCATTAACTTACTTTCAAACAGATTAAACAGCTGCCTTTTTGATATCGTTGTTACTGCTTAACCTTCTTCTTTACATAGCAGAAATTTCATACGAAAACCTTTCTTCAAGAGCAAGATATAATCGTTTTTCCTTACCTATGCAAATGCAGAATATCGGTAAAATATTGGGATACGGTAACATGCTAAGTCTGCGCCACTGCGTGAATCGCAAGGGAAGGCGACAAGAATGTACGAATCGATAGCCTAAACCTTGTAGACTCCATAGGACTGTTTGGAGCCTGATTCGTCTTCTTAGCTCTGAGTAATATTTGGTGAAAGCACAGCGATCAAAAGCGAAAAATGGGAAAAACGACATTTTGGTTGGCTTCTAATTCCACAGTTTGGAGGTCTTCTGAAGCGGGATTCCTGAAGTGGACAAAGAAGGAGTAGTGCTTTGTCTTGAGTGAAAAACGGATAGCTAATTCACCTTTGAAACAAAGTTAACCATGTTGGAATTTGACCATTTCACTTAGGTAGCCTAGTATCTTGAATCTTCAGAATTCGCTCACACTTTGTCTACAGGGGTTATTTGACATCCTAATTATGGATATGTTGCCCATTATGTTTGACAGGCCCTTCAAGTAATGCTTTCTTAAGTGTGTAGTTCAGGGGGGGGGGGTCTTATTAAGACAGCAATCAGGGGGGGGGGGGGGGTCGTAACCAGTGATCGTGTGCCACACCCCTTGCTTGACCCTGGTTATCACTGGTGCTTATCTCTACGTCAACATCTGTCGGCATGGAAGATATCATTCTGCGAATCTTGGTCAAGGAGGAAGGTTGCGTTTAAAGCTATGTCTTTGAGAAGGTCCACTCGTGCTACTTTTCCATCAGAGTGCGAAACAAATATTAGCTTTTCAGGATAGAGGACACACCCATGCATATATGGCCGAACGGAATAGATGTTTTCACGTTAATTATATCGGTAAATGGTACCAGCGACTACAGTGTACAAGTTGACAAGTGTTTCACCGCAGATAATACTAATTGTGGTCGTATTGCTTATGATTTACTGGATGGGAATGCTGTGTTATCGTACATTCAGAACAGAAATGATTACTAGTGGCGCAGGTTAGATCGTTAGCTTCTAAAGAACTGATATCACGTACTTATTATTAGCAGCTACATCAGTAGAAGAGCCCTCAACAGAAACTCCCACTCTTGTAAGAGAAATGCGATACTTAGGCGAAGCTGATCGGAGTGAATCGACGCCTTTGGACTGGAAAATTGAAAGGCCAAAACATTTGCGTTCAGAGCGTCGAACACGCCCTTCATCCAGGCATGAAACACCAAAGCGGCCAAGGCAACCCATATTGTCGGATATAGCAGTGGGCAAGACTATAAAGTAAGTATTAAGGAAGGTAATTTTGCACCGCTGCAGTACACCGTTGTGGCTAGAATGTTTCTCGTTATGGCCGCAACCCTCGGTTACGTAGTGCGCGTAGAAGGAGCGCTTTTATATCTTTATAAGAACTTAATTATCTAGTTCAGCATTAATGACGCTGAAAAAGGCATACTCCCACGAAAGAATGACGATGCAGAAAAAGTACTCATTTGCCGTTCCACACTTTTAAACTTATAAACTCCACCATTTCCATTTAGCTTGAATCTCGGCCGGTTCTGAATGTTATTTGGGAACCATCACAAGGAGATTATGCGATGGAATACGCACAGGTTGGAGAGGTAAAAAAAATTAAAGCTCACGAAAAAATAACTTTTCAGGAAAAGGGAGCAGTCCCAAAAATACACAAGAGTTAGTTTTCAAATGGATCGCAGTCATCACCAGTAGAACTTTTCAGGGCAATTAATATCAGCCACACCAATTTTAGTAAAGAAACGAGGTGCAGCAGGACATGAACAAACCACTGAGGTAGAATTTCTTATGTCCTGGCATGGCTTTTTTTATCACATTTTCAGCCTGTTCTCGTAAAACTTTACTATGAACCTGGAGAAGGAGAAGATGTGGAAGTAAACTTTGAACTAATGCAAACGTAACCTCAGCAAAAGACTTTCTTCCAGATCCCTACAATACCCCTCTCAAAAACGAAACAAGAATATTCTGCCCCCGGCCCTGTGCCATCTGTCAGCTCAAAAACTACAAGGACACGAACCCGAGTTTTTGAGCCCAGTCCCGGTTATACAAAGAAAGTCACCGAAACGCTTACTATTGAAAAAGAAGTAACAAGAACACCTGGAAAAGGTAAGAGTATAGAAATCCTGCATGAACTTTACCAACGAACACACATCTGAATTCAGATGAGGCCGAAGGACATGGAGAACCTGAACGTACGCCAGTAGAGGAAGGAGGTAACACAGACCAGAATGCAGCAACATCTCCAGAAATGTCCAAAGTGAATAACAAAAAATTTATAGAATAATGAGTCTAATAGGCGTGGCAAGCAGTGGCGTACCCAGGATTTCGGCTCGGGGGGGGCGCGGCAAAAAAGATTTTTAAATGAAGGTGCGTGGCGTTAGCCACGCATTCCGAAAAATTTTTAGGGGGGCTTTTCAACAATTTTGCGGGCCCCAAACCCATAAAATCTGGAAAAAGGGGGCGTGGCGTCAGCCACGCCCCCGAAAAAAATTTTTTTATAAGGCTAAGTTGAATTTTTAAAAAATTTTAAAAATTATTTTAATTGTTTACAAAAATAAACAAGTCATTTGCACATTTTTATAACGCATGTAAGTAATTTTCAAAAATTTCGCGACCCGTTCTCGGGGGGGGGCGCGCGCCCCCCCCCGCCCCCCCCCCCCCTCGGTACGCCACTGGTGGCAAGGTATTGCCAAAAAATCTTTCTTATAAATGCTGTAGGTTTTTCCGACGTTGAAAAGGTCTTTCTTGCTGAGGAGCAAATTCTTGGGAAAAATTCAAAGTTGTGTGCGTTGAATCTCCTTATACCCTCTTTCCCCCTTCCACCACAATTCATCTCTTGTCTCTTTTTCTGATAAGCTTGAATCAGCAGAAGCAATAGTTGTAGAAGATTTCAGGAGAAGAAGAAAAGACTTGGAAAGGTTCTAGCACTTTCTTCTGAAACAATCGGTGAAGAAATAAAGAGGAAGGTGCTCTACTTTACGGATTTCGTTCACTTGTTTATCTTCAAGACAAGTTCTTTCAGACTCCAAAACCAGGACGACGCAGTAGAATGTACGCTGTGAAGGTTCCACAAGTGCCTCCACCGTGTCCAAGCGAACCCGTGATACTCATGACTCCAGACGTCACTCAAGATTATACATCTCCTGTCCGTTCCAAGGAACGGGTTATTACCAAAATGAAACCCCTCAAATCAAAGTTGTGCCTACCATTCAGTGAGATATTGACTTCTCAGGAACTGAGTGAAAAGTCTACACAAAAATCCGGACCACCGACGGCGTAATAATTTCAAGTATGAGTGGAAACAGCGCCTCGTTTTCCAAGTCTCAAAATATCAATTTCAGAACGAAAACGAATGACTTGCAAAAAGGATACTGAAAAACTTCGTGTTAATAAACAGTTTTCGCCATTTTCTGAAGTTTTTTGGATGAAAGTGAGGGTGATAGTGGACAAGCGATAGCTTATGTGGGAAAACTAAGGCGGAAAGGATGGTGCTTATGCAGGTGGATTCTGACAGAGCAGCCGGAAATAAGTCAGTAAAAGGAAAATAATTAGCAGCCTGTGTTGACTTGCGCCTCACGTGGGTAAAACTATAAGATTGTAAGTGAATGAAAGCTACCTTTCCGGTATGACTGCCCAGCTAGGCTTCACTTTTAAGGTTGCAAATGGCGCAGTGACACTGTTCACGCTACTAAGCTTGGCATCAAGGGTACAATTCCCAAGTGAAGCATTTGAAATTTGATGTTCATAAGGCGCAGTCAATCTGTGGAGGAAGTATAGCTTGCAAACAGGATTGGGCGTGGGCCCAGGCGTGACAGATCTGGGGGGTCTTATTGGGGTACTGAGGAGGGAACCTCAACCAAGAATAGAATTTGTCCAAAAAATTGAAGAATTATTGGATTGGGTAAGGAGAAGAGGAAAAGGACTGGACCGTGAATCCACAACTTCACTGAAATCAAAGAAATGGTTGTCGTGAATAGCACAATGATTAATTCCACTATTAAAGTCTAGACCATTTCGTTCATCTCTCAACTTACACATACGGTAGTCTTAAGAAAGCTTGCTATGAAACTGGGTTTGACTTCCGTAATCAGCTTGTTGAATGACTTCCATGAGCTCTACAAAGCACTACCTACTACATTTGTAGTGTTTCCAATGCTAGAAAATAGACTTCATATTGCTTTCACTATTGGGTTAAGAAGTTCTGTCAAAATTTTAACCGCTGCGTTTTTCACTTTGAGCGCTTCAACTTTACGGATCACCAAAAAGCCGAAACAGGTTGAGTAAATTATGAACACCTATTGTGAAACCTTCGAGGTTTGCAAATTAGGGTGAAAAAGCTTCATCGGAGAGTAGTTAATGGAGTCAAGCACAACCCCTCACTTTAGGCTGCCTGAGCTTTTATAGCCTTGTGCTTGATTCCTTTAACTTGTCCTCAAAGTTCAGGAATCGCTCTATTCTTGATACTATTATTGAGATCATAGCCTCTTCTTGACACAGTAAAAATTTGGAACTAAACGCCTCTCCTCGGGAGAAATTACAGCTCCTTCAATAGCTTTTAAACGAAAATCCACCTCAATTACGTGCGCTTATAAAAGTGCAGTCGCACGAAACCGGGAGTGCGGTTGTTGAAAATTCAAAAACTCTTGAAGACAAGATGATATATTCTAGAATGTCGTACTCTGAGGTTTCGGAGGTGAAGAGAAGGAGGAAGGGGTCATTCGGGTTCTGGGGAAGGGGGGGGGGTTGAAAGACCTTGTGTCTGACCTCTAGCTTAACTTTGCTTGCAAAACATAATCCAGAAGCTATACTACAAAAATGTGTAGAATAACAATAATGCAGACTCTTTGAGTAGATATGTGCCGATCTATTAGCAGCGTAACCGATTGATTCCCTTACTGGGATAGAAGGAAAACTGTTGTACACTTAGTGAACGACAAAATAGCAAAGGTGCGATCAATAAGTAAGTAAGTAAATGTCTTTACGGCATGCAGAAAAAAGCAGTGAGAAAGGGAAATCCGCTAGTGCAATCGAAATCAAGAAGTAGATCTGAACTGCTTCCAGATAGAGAAACTTACAGGCTGTCTCAATATGAATGTCAAAGCTCCAGGACCGGGTTCTGCGCGTCCGCGAACTTCCTTTGTACATTTACGCTCCCTAGCTTTCAATCTCTGCCAATCGTGAAAAGCCACGGACGCGCCGCAAGTTGAGAGATGGCTGCAACGGCCCGAGGTCGTTCAAGCACTGAAACTTTACAATAAGAGAGTCTGTATCTTGTACGAGCTCTCGAGCAATAGAATAAAATTCTGAATATGTTTGCTCGGCATTGTGTCGTTTGCACGGTCTTGTTCATGAAATGTGCAGTCTGTCGCAAATCTATCAGGCCAAAAATTGGCATGGCGGGAGTCCGTGTCGTCAAAGTTTTGCGTCACTCCTACGGCTTGCTGATCTGCTGTCTCTTCATTCCTTCGCCCTCTCCAACAGCGCGCATATGCAGCGTAAACCACTAGCGCTGCGAGCGCGGATACGCTTACGGTTCCCTGATCCCCGCTGGAACAGAATCTATCCGTCGTGCGTTAGAGTTAGCCGCGTGTACTCACGGTCCAGCAAGGAAGAGGCACTATTTTTTGGTTGCTTCAAACTGTCGACATTGACACACAGAATGCGTAGACTCATTTTGATTTCAGCGCAAAAAATTATTTTCGGGGAACGTTAATCTCACGTTATTGTTTCTCACTAGACTGTCCAACACACGGGGTAGACCTCTAGAGTTGCTAAGATCTGGAATACACTCAAAACTGAGAAAAAACTTCTCTACCTGTCGCGTCCTAACTAATCGAATATGATAAGAAATGAAAGCGATCAAGCTACCCACCCTTGACACCAATATAAAGAAATACATCTAAAAATGTTCGTGAAGATGCTCAGAAGAGTTTCTGCCCATGTAGCAGAGAGGGTGATTGTGAGGTGGCAGGAGTGATTCACCTTATCACATGTTTATCATGTGCAGACATCGGAAAGACTAGGCGCTCTCTCCGGGTCAAAAAACATCTAGATGGGCTAAATAAGTCAAAGCTCTCCATATCACTGGGGCAACCTCGAATAGCCATAAAACTGCTGAAGTCCAGATTGCAGTAAAGATCTTATCGAGCCTGAAGACCTGACTCGCAAAACATCAGAAGCATTTCTAATTTCCTGCGAAAAATCCTGACATGAACAGAAAAGACGAGTGCATTGCATTCACGAATGAACTCACCCTGATTAAACCCTCTGTGGTTTTGATCACTCAGGCATATAAATAGAGGTTGAGGCACAGTTTTGCATAAAGTGATCTGTTCTCCAGCTATCTCGTCCCCCCGGTGTACGTTGGGCGGAGCATTTGCGGACATCTGAACACATTGATGAACGTGTCAACCCTTTACTGCAAAGCATGGTCTTTGTGCTCTCTAAACCACGTATACATGCTGTTGTCATACGTGGCAGAGTTGATAGCGAAAGATTACAAAGAACAGTGCTTCGCAGTGGAGAACTAACAAGTTCACCAACGTGTTCGGATGTCTGCAAGTGCTCCGCCCAACATACACCGGGAGGAAATGATACCTGTTGGCTGCGTCTAAGGCCTCGGGCAGAGTTCACGCGATTTCATCGTCGCGATTCTTATCACAAGACAAACAGTTACGATTCTATTGCATGCCGATCATCTTGCATTTCGGTTGTGATATTAGTCACGATTGGTTCGTGTTGGAGAACTGTCACAACCGAAATGAAAGATGATCGACTTGCAATAGAATGACTGTTTGTCTTGTGATAAGAATCGCAGCGATGAAATCGCGTGAACTCTGCCTGAGGCCTAAGGTGAGTATGTGTGCTTGTAGCTCTGATAGTGTCTTTGACTTTTCGGGTTTGTTTTGTTCCCAGCACTGACGTCTGAAAAGATGGACTTTGAACAGATAGACACTTATGACTTCGTCTTACCAGGCTCCGAAGAAGGCGTAGATCGCCGAAACGTCAACCTCAGCCAACAAAGTTATTATACCAATCTTGGTCAAGCTCAGCAAGTACCGGTAAAGTGATCAAAACAATGCCAAAGTTCAAGGGAAACCAAATTTTCGCCATACTAAAAGATCTTTAGAAGTTATGTTAGTATTGAGAGTCTTGTTAATTGTTACTCTGTTTGTTTATGTTGTATTTCGTCTTTTCAAATTCTATTCGTTTCCCAGTGAGGGTAAACCTATGTAGCAATATACAACAAACATTAAAAAATAAATCAATTAGCACTGCTGCGCCATAGCAAGTGATACTTTGCTAACGGTAAGAATTGGCAAGATGTCAAACATAAAAGCGCGGCTTACGCATTACAAATTTGCGTTTGTCCATACATACAGTCTATGTCAATCACGTGTTCCTTTCTCCGTAAGCTCGCCATGCGGAGCTTCGCGCCATGTCCGCGCGCGTTGCCTCGAGCTTTAAATCGATGAAGCTTAGCCTCATCGATTGGAGATCCGCACGCAAGGCCTCCGCGTTGCGCACGAGTAGTTCTCTCGCGAAAGGAAGTACGTATTTGATGCAGACTTTAAAATTTTTCTTTGCTTTTGTCAAAATTTCCATACTTTCAAAACTTGCAGTTAAACAAGAAGAAGCTGTACTTCTATGAAAATCGTTCCAGCTCCAAACACTGTTGATACTTTAGGGCTGTTTACATTCTTTTTGCTCAAAGGAATTCCCAGTGGTGTTTTAGTTGAACTTGTCGACTGCTGCTTATCGGTGTAGTCATTCGTCTATACTTTTTTCTGGTACTAGTCTATCATAATGGACTTTACCTGGGATGATTTTGTACATGTAATTTGCATGATAGCTGTGGTAAGCGCTCACTTTGCTTTAGATAAAAAATTTCAAGGGCAATCAACTTTTCAAGGTAGTCTTTATAGTGGGAACACTTATGCTTGCTCTATATGTTCTTCGGCTTATATGTACTTTTAATCAGCTACCGGTTTGTGATTGAAAAGTTGCCAGATTATTAGGCAGCGTCCAGAGCTATCCGGTGCCGTGCCATTGGCGCCGTGGCAGACACCTGTGGACGCATAGCGTATTAGTTGATTGAACCTCCGGCACACGACTGGCACCGCCCTGGAACGGCACTGGCACGGACAACTCCTCCCCCCCCCCCCGCTCGCGTCCTAGATACTGTTGGTTTCAGATATTTGATGTGGAGTCAAGCGCTCGAAGCGAAACTTTGCGAAGTGATCGTGACCAAAGCGTAAGGAGCCGACGATCGCTAAGATCTGCTAGAAGTCCCTCAAGAACCCAAAGGAAAAGAGGAAGTACGAGTAAATCCCGATCATCACTGCGTTCGGGATCGCTGTCGCGTTCGGAACGCGAAGAGGCGCCTCGGTGGACGCGGCGCGGCACGCGAACCCGGAGCGGCCCACTTCGAAGCGAACAGGTTCCAAGTATTCAAAGCGAGCAAGTATGAACTAACTAGCCGAACTTGATAGGTTTTGAAGGTAAAATTTTTAGGAAAGCGAAGGTCGAACTGTGAACGTTGTGGTCAGAAGATTAGATATAAAACCTCTTAGAACTAAGGTAAAATCTAAAATACTAGCTTCTCTAATGTGTAACATTCACTAGCCACTTCAGCAGCCTTCCCAAGAATTTGAAAATGTCCCCAAGACAAGAACTCGAATACAAGGAGTTGATATTCCTAGGCAAACTTTGAAAAGTGGAACTGTAGAGGTAAAGATAAAGCAAAATTTCTCTTTTACTGCCAATAATCGTTTTAGGAAGATGAAGCAGTAGTTCCTAGAACAAAAGGACCCAAAGGAGTTGACCTTCCAAGAGTGACGATAAGAGCTGGAGAAGCAGATGATGACGAGGTAAACATATTCATTGATTCTTCTCTTGCCTTCAAATTGTGCATCCAGGAAGTTGAAAATGCTCCAAAAGGACGCATAAGGGGGATTGATATACCCAGAGAGACCATAAGGGGAGCAGCTGGAGAAGAAGCTACAAAACCCAATCTTACATTCAACGTAGAACCTGGTGCTTCCATCTCAGTAAATGTTCTCAGTGAACGAGCTTATGCTGGTGGAGGAGAGGTCATAAATTCCATGAGTATTTTTTCTCGAAATCAAAAATCTAAAAAAAAATTCAGGGTGAATGTATCCAGACGAGCGAATCAATTAGTGGCTCCGATACGCTTGTGTGCAAGACGATCAGTTCTCTTACTGTGACAAAGATATGAGGTAAAAATTTCCGTCGCTTGGAGAAAAATGATTCGAAAATGGTTTAAAATTCTGTTTTTTAGGGCACAAGCAGAAAAGAAGATGAAAAACTATGGTGTCATCGTTCCTTTTAGAGATTTTGTCGAAATAAAACGTTTTAAAGAAGTTCTTTGTTGATTTGCAGTTTCGGCTAACTCTTCTCGTTATTTTCGGCTCACTTTGTGAGTTTGCACATTATGCGCGACAACCGACGACATCTTTGATTATAATTTGTCAGCAAAACCTTTTCTGGTGTGACAACAGTAAAGATTTCTGCTACTAACTATCAAATATTCAAACAACCAAAGGATACAAGGAAACAGGGAGAAATTACTGGAAATGAGCAGTCTTAAGTCTTACCAGTCGTCGAGTAGCGCGCATGTGCAATTGCAGATTAAGTTACAAATAGCTCCACGATATGTTTCCACAATAGTGATACAAAAGAAGATGAAAACTTATGATATCATCGATCCTTTCGGAAATTTGTCGAAATAAAACATTTTAAAGAATATTTTCGTTGATTTATGAATTTTTTGGCTAAGTATTGTCGTAATGCAGTGTGTGAATCTGCACGTTATGCGCGGCAATCTACGACACCTTCACGAGTAACTTGCAAAAAAACATTTTCTACTGTGAAAAAGAGACAAGGAAACAAGAGGAAATCACTGGAAACGAGCACATTCAACCTTGCAAGTCGTCAAGTAGCGCGCATGATGTGCAGCCACGTATTAGTTCGTAAATGGCCCGACAATATGTTGCCAAAGCAGTGATAGAAAATAAAAATACATTCTTTTTAGAGAATTCGTTCGAATAAAAGATTTTAGAAGTTTGATCTATAAACTTCTCGGCTAGCTACACCTTTGCGCCAGACAATAAAGTGTCAAGATGATCTTCGCGGAAAGTAACACCTATACCCGCTTTGTTTACCTTTACCCATTCATCGACGATGTAACCCCGGTTGAAAGAACCATAGCTCGACATGCCCACTTCTCCACCCTCATCCTCACACTAGAACAAGGCCAATGATCCGGACAAACGATCGTCCCCGATGCGCCTCAATCGCTCGCTCTCTTCACGCTCGTTCCAACCCTTCTAACTGCCCTTTGACCTTCTCACATCTCATTCGACACGAGTTTATGGATGTTTCTCGACACTTTGAGTACAGACAGTGCGAAATTTTATTGCCTGTTTATGGCCCCTTTTCAACGGGTTTTTATGCAGGGGGAGAGGAGATTCTTGCAATTTTTCATTGCCTCGTTCCTTTGAGGATCCTTAAGATTGTTTCGCTACTCCTTGCAAGATTAAAAGTTTCTTTTGGGGAAATTTTCCCAGATTTTTCGGCTTAAAATAAAATCTTCCTCTGCTCCAATTCTAAAACAAACCTTCGCCTTTCTTAAAAATTCTTCATCTTTGCATTTTAAAATAGAACCTCCAAGTTTCAATTAACAAACAGCCAGAAATTTACTTTCCCATTGTTCTCTTGTTTTTCCAAAAGGCTATTGTTTACGACAGCTAGGTACAAACAAAGCTGAAGATGTTTTTGCATCATTTGAATAAATAATTAGTGGACCTTGAGAAAATTTGGCTCTTTTAAGGGGGGGGGGTACAATATGATAGAGATGGATAAGAGATAGGGGATTTCCACAATGCTAATTCCCACAATGCTAAATGTACAAGTGTGACAATTCGTGCTATCGTTTTTTTAAATTTTTTTTCTTTACATCTTTACATCTTCAAAATAGAACCCCAAATCTCAAATAGCAAACAGTCAGAAAATTATTTTCCCATTGTTCTCTTGTGTTTCTAAAAGAAGAGAATATTTTGAATGAGTGGTTGGTAAATAAATCGGGGAGTGAATAAAAAATTCCAAAAATTTCAAAGCTTGTTAGCAACATCTAAGCACCTTTATTCGAAATAGACTAATATTAATTTTGAAAAATAAGTAATTCAAAATATTAATTAATCAAAACTAATTGGTATAGATTATCAACTTATTACTAATCAAACCTCAATTTTCCTCAAGTAACTATAAAAACTACATACATTATTCAACACTTGCACCCACGTAGATAAATGCTAATCGATATCGATCGGATCAAATTTCGGAGACAGAAACCCAGTTTGAAATTCAATCAATACCTCAACTATCTGGCATTCGTCCAATTTCGTGACGTCCTTGGACGTCATCATTACCTCTGTTATTCATTGAATGTCGTGCGCATGCATCTCAATAGTGTCAAGTGCGCATACAGACATGCTACTAGACATTGACTCTTCGATTATTGATTTTTATTGATTTTTCCTGCTCAAGTCGGGTTCGAATTTGTTGATATCCACAAGAAGTTCGGCTTAATTAAGGCTGGTCAGTGCGTAGTAGGTTGTTTTGCTTTGTCTTTGCGATAATGTGGAGAACGTAATTACGGACCAACACTCCAAATCTTGCGTATTTGTTTATTTGAGTAAACATATCGTGAGTGTTTGTGTCGTCTTAGTGGATAATGCGCATGTTTACGCTAGTTCTTCACTCAGAAGCTAGGCATCAATGTTCTACATTTCTCAAAATTCTAAGTCTTATCCTCCAGCTTATTGGGCGAGTCCCGCCCATACCGTAGTCGTGGTACGGTAAAATACTGCAACCAATTACAGGAAAAACACGGTTTTGCATGGGACCCCTTCATTGTTGATTTTGAGTGCGTGTCGGCAGTCGCTAAATTTTTATTCTGGGATTTAACGTAAATCAATTTTATTCTTGAACTTTAACCTTCTTCTGCGTTACTAAAAAATCCGTTCCTGAACTAATTTGGGAATATTTACCTCTAAAAAGTTGTTCTATCGCCCGAATCAATCCATTCGCTCTACAGTCGTTAATGATCGAGCAAAAGATCAATAAATTGATTTCTTCCAATCTCTGAACTTCGCCGTCAGAGATAGCATTGAACTTCATTGAAATGCCTGTATATGCTCGATGTGACAGTGTAATTACCAGCCGGCAGCTCGTAAACCGTAATTGGATCCGGTTATACTGTGTCTGTCATTATGTTCGCGCATGTGTGTGCAACATATCGCGTGTCGCAGCCAGTCGCGCGAATCGCTGTGTCGCCGGAGGATAATCGCACGTTGTGGTCGTTGATCTGCTACTCGGAGATCACGATGGACGTATCGCAGCGGAGCGCGATCTTCGATCTAAAAAAGAAATTATAAGCAAATATCTCACCTTTTTCATGGTTGCTGTACCTGCTTCCTGTCATCCTCATTCGTCCTATTTCAGTTTGATTGATTATTTAGTTATTCAAGTATTTGCTTATTCATTTGTCCACTTACTCGTTTATTTATTCATTTATTTATTACCTTACTTGAGCTAATGTGTCATCATACCACCGTCATGTGCCACAAAAATCAGTATCTTGAAGAAAGGATTGAAAATCAAGGATATCGAGACCTAAAATGCACTCACAAATATAAAGAACTCCATTAGTGCACGACTGAGCATTTTTTGAGAAATCCACATTTATTTATTTGAGCTTAATGAAAAAAATACAAAAAAATCATACAAAAAAATCAAATAAAATGAAACAGGACATCAAATATGTAGAAGATTCAGAAATGCATTTGACTTTACTTCAACTAAGAAGTCCTTTTGAAAGTATGCGCAATCTAGCATTTTTTGAGTATTTTATTCATATTATTTTTCTTGTCCGTTCAATATAAGCCTCCAAACAGCAAATATTTTCACAGCTGTGCTTTGACATAACAAGTCAACGTGTTCCCCTATATGGATCGTTGTCGGAAAGCATTTCCATGGTATTTACGTCTCTGTACGTTTACACAACATGGTAATGTGAAAGTGTGTTTTCTCTAGTGAGACCTTTAATGTGCAAGTTGTTCCCGATTGTCAGTACTTTGAATAAACTGATATGGGGATTAAAGATTTCTGTCTAGCTTTGAGCATACAGTGCTGGATAATACAGCTCTTAATTCTCTATTTTTGACTAAATAATGAAGCTGGTCACAGTTGAAAAGCGCTTAATTTTCTTAACGTTGACGACGATGTGGACCATCGGTGGCCTACGCGCTTTTTGCTGCCAGGGACGATGTGGACCCCCGGTGGCCCACACTTCTCGCAAAGTCGTATTATTTGCAGGTCTAGTATTTTTTCAATGTATGAATATTTTTTCCAATTTTTTGTATTCTTAGGACCTATAGGCTCTGTCGTTCAAGAAAATGTCAATAGTTGTTTACAAAACAATGTTGCATCTGTAAATAAGCACAAAACCCTCCCACACTCAAAGTGTTGTGCAAAATCGCGTCGTCCCACAGCGCCGCCGCGCAAAATTAGGCGTCGTCGTCAATGGGTTAATCATTTCTGCGTCATTTAGATTTTGATTTTTTATGCGGCAATTCGAGGTATGACATATGAAGGAAATTACCATAATACGCAAAATACAGTGATTTATAGGGTGGAATTATATTAGTGCCGAGCACTATATTGGAAATAAAATCTGTTTCCTTTTCGTTACCGTATTTAACAAGAAAAAAATCCTGATAGATTAGCATTATTGCAAGCTGATTTGCAATCGACTTTATCATCAACCAAGCTTCTATTTTCTGTACTGTTAAAATTGTTATAACAGTCTCATTTTAGTATTCATGAAAATCGAATTATGTATGACCTTCAAAAACTTTGACGGTGTGCAAAGTTTGCTAGGTCCAAGTCAAATTGATCCTATTCTACAATTAGTGATGAACGTTGTTTTTTTCATTAACCCTCTGCGACCTAACAGTCAAAAATACTGAGTCCTTTTCGGCGGGATGGAAAAACCTAAAAGACATAAACAACAGCTGTTGAAAGGCAAGATTTGAAAATTAGCCATTCTCGGCTTCTGATCAACAAAAGCTCTCTAATCCCTAGGATCCAACTATTTTTCGGATTGATTTTTGCACCTTTTCTCCTAAAAATATCTGTTCCTGCCTTTGTTGAGTT